AAAAAAAAAAAAAAAAAAAAAAAAAAAAAATCGAGTAAATTTGTCGCTCACCATATCCGGTAGAAAACCGAATTCAATTGTCAAGCTGGCTGCAAAGCTTTTAGAAATCTCTGTGGCTATGTTGCCTGCCTCATAGGCACCAACCTCATGAACTTGCTGAGGCAGTGATGATGATGGAAATTGAGTCATCGGTTCGGTTCGCGTCAGGTAGGCCCCCCTATCTAGTCCATGGATATGAAATACCAGGTCTCTTTTGGGGTCGGAAGCGGTTCCTACCGTCTTCCCCCGAACACAACACACCCTCATTTTGACTGTATCGGGCCAGAAACATGCCTTGCATACGTTCATTTTCAGGGTGCGTTATGTTTGGGGGAAGACGGGTACACGGCCCCAGCCTTGAAAGAAACTACCGTCTTCCCCCGAACATAACGCACCCAAAAAATGAATGTATACAAGCTATATTTCCGGTCAGACACAGCCAAAATGAGGGTGCGTTGTGTTCGGGGGAAGACGGTAGTCGTCGACGAGTTTCTTCCGGAAAAGACGGCGCAGGCACGCCGTCGATAAAACAAATCGGTGGCCGGTGTTGTCTACCGGATTCTGACGGGCGGCTGTACTTGTGCTTTACAAGAACCCGACCTTTAGGGCCAGATCCCACTAGCCCCTATTGTTCATTTCTGACCGTTGATCTTCGTAATCGAGGGTGAAAAATGAACAATCCAGGGTAGTGGGATCTGACCCTTAGTAGTCCTTTGACAGACAGTCTAAGATTGCACAACTCCTCAAGTCCTCCATGACGTAGCTCTGCATTGTAGGCCAATAGAATCAGATTCTCTCCAACAATTACAGGTGCATCTTCTTCAGGGGAAAAACTACTCTGTGCATCATGGCATTTGCCTGTATCAAGCTACAACTAGCTTCCCACGCAAACACACAACCGCTGCACCCCTCTGCTCTCAACAAAGACAACTTCACGCTGAATCATGTAACCGTCGTGAGTGCTTGATGCATACGCTGCTGCAATCTTTCCCAGCCTGCAGAATCATCTTGTTCTAGACAGCACGTGATCATGCATACGCTGCTGCAATCTTATCCACCAAATGTGTCGCCCACTCTCATCCAAGACAAGATCTTGCCAATAGCAGCCTCCTCAACAGCGCATCTGTCCTTCTTGTGCTCCAGCTCAGAGTCGTACGCGACACGTGTCAATCACTGCTTACCACTGTTTTTTTTTGTTTGTTTTTTGAAACAAGCTCCATACCACCTAGCAAGCTTGTACTATGAAAGCTTGGGCTGCATCTTCAACCACGTCACGGTTCGGTTAATAGGAAGGCATGTTGAAGGGTCTGCCCAACAAAAACTGTCGCAGGAGAGCATGCATGATACAAGGCGTACGAGTTGCTCCCCATTCAAATTCTCCTTTGACTATCGCGTCTTGAAGCTTTCTCTTTCCTAGCTGTTGGCAATGATGACCCTCTCTGACTCGGAGGGGATGCGCTTGGAGAGGTTCTCCACCTCTCCGAGCCCACGTCCATCACCCATAGAGGGCATTCCAATCCCATACTACCGTCCTCACCCGAGCAGAACGCCCGGTCATTTGTAGCTGCTGTATTTGGGCCAACTCTTCCGGACCAGATGCAGCGATAATGACCGGGGCGTTTCGTTCGGGTGAAGACGGTAGCTGACATTTGTGGCAATGACCCTCTCCGAGCTATCTTGACCCTCAGGGGCAGCCATTGATCCGATAGTTGATGAGATCCTCCTTCAGAGTCTCAAAGACCTCCTTTATATCGGCTTACGGTGATCAATTAGATATATAAATGGGTTTTCCTACACCAATGGACCAGGTTAAGATTCGTAAATGGTAAAA